TTTACCTGTACCTTCGAAAATCTCTAATCGGCTAGGGTTTTGGGCAGCAACAGAACAGCACCGCTTCTTGGCAATATCCAGCCAGATTTAAACTCTCCAAACCCTCTACCAACTAGGCTAGAGATCCTCTGTACTATAGAGAACCTATCTCTCCATACACTCTCTTAACCTAAGGGTGTATGGGAAAAGAAGAAAAGGAAAAAGGAAGAAATAGACCTGGCTTTGATACCAAGATGCAAATCAGTCCTCAAATATTAGGTGTAAATTTGTAGATTAGAAGAAAAAGAAGAAGAGAAGTAAGAGCAGCAATACAAGAGAAGAAGATGGCGAAAAGAGAAGGAAGAAGAAGAAATCGAATCCTCTCTCCTTTCTCCTCTAACCCTTTTTTTTATTAAGAATTTAAAGTTAGAGTAATGACAAGTATGCCCTTAAGTGGGCGGCCAGCTAGGCAGTAACATAAAAGAGATTAAACAAAAAAAAAGAAATAGCAGGCCCATTAGCCAACAATAAAAGAAAAGACATTACAAGAGAAGATACTAGGGCCCATTCGGCCCAGTCTTTTTACAGTATACTTTCTGTATCTATCTTTACCTTTATATTTTTAATGAAATTGCTGAAGTTATGATAAAAAAAAGGACAAAAAGGTGGATTCCGCCATTATCTGACTAGATTGATTAAAACCATAGGTTGAGCTACTTGTGTTTAAGAAACCATATAGTGAGAGAAATGTGACAGTTAAAAATAGCAATATGAGGTAGATAAAAAGAATTTTTTAAGGAATTTACAACTATTGAATCATGAAATTTTTTTTTACCTGCAATGTAGGCTTGAAATTGAAGAGGTATACAGATAAAATCATTGTCAGTAGCATAGCCATTGATGTGGAGTATACCTGAAACCCCCCAAAAAGATAATAGTAGATGAATCAAATTGTTTATAACAGCACTGGCAGGAAAAGGGAAAGACTTATTTCTTTGGTTTTCAAGATAGGTTAGAACAGCAGTCATTGGTTAAATCTATGTGGCAAAAGAAAAATGCCTTTCTCAGACAGAGCTATAGATTTTTCCCAATCAATATCAATAAGCAAACCCTATGTAGACACAAGGTGTCAGACAATATCATTGCAGGAAATATGAACAGCTGTATGTAAAGAGAGATGCAATTAAACCAAGAGGGAGGTAGCCAAGGCTAGCTACCTCCTGGGTGTGTAAAATTGTGTTTTGTATTTTCCTTGCAGTAATAAGATGAACAACAGCTATTCATAAGAAAAAAGATCAGCAGAACAGAATGACAAAACAGGATTAATGTAGCCAACCCAAAGGATATAGGTTAAGTAGTAAAAAATTATTTAAGCACTCAAAATTTAACAATGGATATGGCACTAAACAGAACAGAATGGCAAAATAGGATTCATGTAGCCAACCCCATATAGATAGGACAAGGCTTAGATGATGATGACGATGAAGTCATTTCTTACTGCTTCAGCCCATGTCCTTTTTGGTCTTCCCTTGGCTCTTCTAGATCCTTCCACTTGCAATAGATCATAGAAGTTCCTACACTAAGATGGTGTTTGGTTCCATTGCTGCTTATCAAATAATCGGCACCAGCTCAGTGCTACATAGGCGTTTCTCCCCAATGGATCTTAAAATTTTGTTTGGTTAAGCTGTTTATCAAGAATACATTTTTCTCGGGTTATGTAAGAGCTATCAATTGGGGTTTCCCCCAATGGTAAGGCATTTTTTCACTGTTTGGCACATGTGGCGCCTAATGGCACCTAGTTGTCAAAAATGCTAATAAACATTTCTCAATAACTTTTCTTGTTTTTCAATAAAAGTGCCTTACAAAATGTTTATGAGATAAACGGCAACAGAACTAAACAGCCCCTAAAACACTCAAAATGTTATTTCCTGTGTTTTTTTTTTCAGGTCAAATTTGGGGGTGCTTAAAAATAAGTGCTTATTCGAATAAGCACTTATTTGGGCTGGGACCACATCAATAAGCACTTATTTGTGTTTGGGAAATAAGCCCAAAATAAGTGATTATTCTCAGAATAAGCACTTATTTGAGAAGCCCAAACTTTGGGCTTATTTTTTAAGTGCTTGTTCAACAAGTATTTATTTCCTTTCTGGCCTATCTTGGCTCACCACGTCATTTTAAAACTACCTATACTACCCCTATTTAAAATAAGTGCTCATTAGAATAAGCACTTGTTTTTAAGCACTTATTTTTCAAATAAGCACTTTCAAACTTGGCCTTAACCAATTTCTTGTGATAGCATTATTCCTTTGTAAATTTGAGGAGGGTGGTTTTTTTTGGGGGGTGATGGTGTTTCAATTTGTACATCTTCTCATGTGCATCCTTCCCCTTTTTTGCACTAAAACTTATCCTTAAAAAGAACCTCTAACAACTGATTTCATATGGACAACAGCAACCATGATACATGTCAATATTTTATTCCTTGATTAGGCCATAGAAAAAAGAGAAATGTTGTATTGACATGTTCCTAGTGTGAATGGCCCATACTATGGGTGCATGACGCAAATACCTGGACACGAAACATTACAAGAAAAGAGAGTAACAACTAACCTTAACAATATTATCTGCATACTTCATTAACCAAGACACTAGCAAACCAGTAGACCCTAGATTTAATACCACCAACCATGTAGTAATACTATAACCATCCAACAGGCGTTGCCACCATGGTCCCTTCTCAAATCCACCTCTGAAATCGTCCAGGAGAAGTCGTGCCATGTTGAAGATTGCACCAAACCTGAAAAAAGTATTGTCTATGAGAATAATCAACATAAGCCTTAAAAGCTTCTGACAATATGCATACTAGTCATGTCAATAACGTTCACTTAGCAAATGTTCTAGAGATGTAAATAAAACTATAAACTTGTTTTAATTTTTCTTGTGACAGAAGGTAACATGTATATATTGTCTTGCAAGGACCCAAAGTTCTATCCAGAACCAAAAGAAAAAAGAAAAATCATGTGGGAAGAGAAATGCTGTTATACCCCGAATATGCAACACATCAGCAGTGCAATCCATCTCCCTCCCTAAGAATCCATCAAATATTAACTGCAGTGCTGACCAAAACTTCATAAATCTCATTTAAGAGTTGAACTAGATGCTATGGCTGTTGTCCCTAAGTGTTTTGATGATAAAGACATCAAGTTCTAGTGCTTCCAATTTGTGTTTATTTCTTTTTAGGACTTAATGTAATCATTTGCAAGAAGTGCACACAAAATGGGCTTAATTGACTGACCTCAGTTTGACCAAGACCTTAGAGACCAATAATTAAATGGCTAGGATTTCCCCAAACACTATACTGAGCTTAAGTGTGAAATCCTAAATGTGGAGGCCTAAGGAGTCAACTCCCAAATATTTGGAGCCACCTACTTGAAGTTTCTAAGGTGGGACATAGTCATTAGCCGACTGCCCATAAGGTAGTAGCCAACCCAAGACTGGTATCAGTGAGTTGACTACCCATGAGGCAGTAGTCGACTACCCGTGACCGTGTCAGTTGAGTCTGGTGTTACAAGGTCAGTAGTTGACTATTGTAACAGAGGTATTCAACTATATCTAACAGCCGAGAACTTGATACACTTAGTAGTCAACTACCAAGAGGTAATAGTCAGCTACCAAAGAGACGATTCTCTTCCAAGTAGTAGTCAACTACCAAAACCCAGCACTCAACTACCTACTCATAGAATTGAAGCAGTCAACTACTTCACAACGAACAAGAAATTTTTGACTATTTGAAGGCTCAACGACTCTTTTCTTCTTCTGGTAAGCCTTCAATCTTCTCTGTATCGTTCCAATTTAATCAGATGTCTCCGAAGAGACTTCTGGTAAGCCTTCAATCTTGTTAGGAGCAAACTCTAAACATTTATACAAATGGTTTAATCCCTTCCCAACAGATCTGTAACAGTCACAAGCTCTCTAACCATTATCCATGCTATATATACATAAGCTTGAGATGAAAATCTCAAAGAAGTGAATTGAGTTATGTAGTGAAAAGAGAAAAAAGAGAAATAGCAAGAAAGCAACTTTATTTGAAGAGATTCTGAGCTAAAAGAGTTTTTATCCTTAGAGGAGGAAAAGCTTTAAAAAGCTAATTTGTACCTCATTGATTCTCTCCAAAAATATTAAGTCTCTTCAAGGGCATTTAGCCCATATTTGTTTATGCCCATTCTTGAATTTGAATAGTTTGTTTTGTATTTCATATCTTCCTAGTAAGAGGCATTATTTTTGTGATTTAAACTATTTATATCTATTGTAATTGTTTAGCTAATAATATCTAGCTGATGGTTGTTGAGTGTTCAAAGATTGAACACTGGAAAGGTTGGGATAGCACCAGTAAGTCTATATAGTTAAAGATTTTGTTGGCACCTGGGAAGTGTAATTGTTGCCACTTGGGAAGTCCAACTAGTTGTAAAGGTTTTGCTAGCGCCTAGGAAATCCAGTTGAATTAGTGGAAATTCTCAAGTGGTATGCCTGGGGAGAGGACATAGGCCTGGGTTGGCCGAACCTCTATAAATCTTGTGTATTCTCTTGATTGTTTGCAGTTCTTTAAGTTTATTTATGTTAATTATTCACACTGCTATAATTTATCACACAAGCACTTTACATTACTGCTCTCTATTATCTGTATAACTTTTAGCTTTTGAACTTTAGAAAGCTTTAGTTGGGGGAAATCAATAGAACCCAATTCACCCCCTCCCCCTCTTGGGTTAGGCTACCTGGTCAACAATGGCCACTTTCCATGCTTTGGAACCACAAGCAATTGCAAAAATCACCCTCCATTATTGAAGAACTAAGCCATATTATTTGATTCTAGTACTCATAGGAAGGGCTTCGACTTCTGTTTCTATTGAGTTTGTGTCCCTTATATGCCCTCTAAGAGGCCAAAACCATTTCCATCAGCTTTGAGCATGGTTTAAAATGCCCATAAATTTCCTAATATTTCAAGGACATGTTTCTATTTCCATGTGCAGTTGTGCACCGACACAAAATATTACTAGAATCAACATATTCCCCAATGAAAGCTACTGCTGTGCTGTTGTAGAGTACAAGAGATAATGTTATAAGTTGGTGACAATATTTTAGATATGTGGAGTAGTAGTTTTATTACACACCTAATAGGCATCATTACCACTTTGAGATAGCTCAAAAATCTTTTAAACATGAAGTTAAATCTTAGTTTTTAGGGTAAATCTCTTAAATTACCCTTACTATTTGCGAAATTGACTAACTGTACCCTTATTGTTTACATATTGTCTTAAACTACCATTACTGTTTCTAAAAGTTGACAACCGTTAAGTGCTAACGGAAAGAAACAAAATGTCGAATTTGCCCTCCACTATTCCCTAAACTTCAAAATAAAACCCAACTAATGAACAATTCCGATTTGAAAGGTATTTCCCGTCATCGTATGCCGGTGCTTCTCCCCCAAGGTATTTTCCGTCATTGCTGCAGTTGTCGGTTGGGATCCACCATTAAAGCAGTAAGTGGTGGGGGTAAATATAACCGAATTGATTGGAAGATTGGGATTCCCCATTAAAGCAATAATGGAGAATCTATGCCCGTAGTTTTCGTCCTCCCCTGTGGCACCAAACGGTGAATCCATGATGGAAAATACCTTACTGCTTTAATGGTGAATCTATGTCCGTGGTTTCCGTCCTCCCCTGTGGCATCAAATGCTACCATCCATGGCGGCCCCCTCACCCTCAGAGAACTTATGATCTACCTCATGTCATTGCCGACTTTCCTGATTACCCTGAGGTCGACCGGATTGCAGGCGACATGTTCAAACACATTCCTAGTGTCAATGCCATCTTATTGAAGGAAAATAAGTCGAGTATGTTTCAATCTTTTCTTTTTTTTTATGAATGATAATAAATTTATTAATTCAAAAGCAGATTTAGAGTGAGTTCATACAACATCCCAAGGAGAGGCGCGAGCTGCAGCCCCTCCTTGAATCTTACAAGTAAGCTAGGAAAGAAAAGCAAGAATCACAACTGAGCCCAAAACAATTCTTCCCTATTTACCCCTTGCTTAGCTAACACATCTAACAAAGTATTTGCTGATCTCCCCACCCATTGTACAATTACCAACATATTCCTTGTCAACCAACTAAATTTCTTCATTTCATTCTTGTAACGCCACATAACCTCTTCAGGATTTTTCAACCAACCCAACACCACTTTAGAATCCTCCTCGATTGTTAGGTGTTGTACCCCCAACTGGTTTGCAAATTGCACCCCTTGTACAGCAGCTAAAAGTTCTGCCCTGATGGAGTYYCCAATTCCCAAGGGACCTGAGTAGAGCAACAAAATCTCTCCCTTCTCATTTCTTAAAGCACCCCCCATTCCAGATAATCCTGGATTACCCATACTATTTCCATCAAAGTTCAACTTCAGTGAGCCTTCGGATGGAGGAGACAAGCTTGTAATTGATTTGTCCTTTAGGGATGAACACCTCGCTATTACTGACCAGTTTCTCCAAAGGTCATTAAAAGAGAATTGATGAAAGATTTCCAAGGTCTTCAGCCAAGGTATTGCCCTATTTAACACACAGTCTT